AGAGAGAGAGAGAGAGAGAGAGAATTATGTTATTTGAAATGAACTGTAAATAAATTAACATTTTTCATATATTATTAGTAACTATAATGTAAATATTATAAATGGGTATTTTAAGACTTAAAATATTTTTAGTTTTTATTTCTTTTGCGAAGGAGAGAATATCTTATATTATTTAACCAAATGATTGTGTGCATCATATTATTTAATTTGCCCTAGTTGGGAGTAATGTGTATCGCCAACAGTATCAGTGGCCTAATGGGCATAATATTTGCCCACAACATACGTTTGGGCGTTACAATAGCGTTGGGCTCATATATGATGATGTATTTATTAAATGGTTTCGCTATCCCTCTAAGAACTGCTGATTGGTTTACCCGTAAAATAAGTTACTTGTCTCACATTCGGTTCGCATTTTATGCCACAATAATCGCCATCTATGGCTACGACCGGTGCTCTGACGGGCAATTAAATCTAGTACTACATAAGTATCGTTTAAATGATGATGATATGTGGACAAATTGTAACTGGATAATTGGTTTGTGCATTATATCATATAAATGTGAATTTTGAGATTGTTAAATTTGAAAATTAAGTGTTTGAATCTCTCTAGGACATTTTGTTGTTATTCAACTACTTGGTCTTTTAGCCATAATGCTTAGAGTGAGATTTACATAAACGTGTGATTTTGGTAATATCAACATCAATTTTTCTAAGGTTTATATAAACAATGGTTTTATATAATAATAATTTTATTAAAAATAATGTATTACACGTTACAAGCACATTAAAAGTTTCAAGTTTATGTTTGGCATTTTTGAGCAAAAAGTACATAGTTTCATTTACGTTTTAAAATAATATTATACGCTTTGGGAAAATACAAGGCTTGTGTACTCAAATCAGGCTCAATCACATCCCGCGTATTCTCACCATGCTCAGTATGCAACTCAATACGATAATCCTTAGTGAGTTGCAAAAAATTGACCAATATTAAAAATAGATCATTGATAGCCAGGGTCTCTCCCGGACATATACGGCGACCGCAACTAAACGGCATATAAGCGGCGAATTTTGTTTGCAAATATTGACCATGCTCGTCGAGAAATCGCTCTGGTTCAAATTTGTCCGGATTAGTCCAATGTTTTGGATCCATCATGATCCATGATTGATGAACCAACAAGCTGGTTCCTTCTGGCACCGGATGTTCACCTAATTTGATAATGCAAACATTTAAACTAATAATAAACTATCATTTATTACAAACTGCCCGGTACATTGCAATATTTGTGTAATATTTTTTTTTGACTTTAACATCTCATTTTAAATATTTTTATACATTACTTAATATGTGTTTCATAATTATTATCAGATATAATGTTAATTAATATTTAATTCAGTATAGAGTTACAAAAATTATAAATAAATATTAAAAATTCAAACCCAATTTACTGTCGACCAGAGCCTTGTGAAAGACACCCATCGGCGCAGGATTTTTGTACCGTAATATCTCGGATACAAACGCCAGCGTATAGTTAAGCAGAGACTTGTCCTCAATCACAGGCACCCGATCGCCGATCTCATGACTGATCTCATTGTGCAATTTATCCTGGTAATCCGGATAGTATGCCATGAATAGCATTATCCACAGAAATGTACTTTGCGATGTCTCCACACCACCTGTAATATTGTAGTATTTTACCATATATATTTAACATGTTTAATTTAACTAATTTGTAATAAATTTAGTTTTAAACTTTTAATATACAAAACTAATATATCAATAATTTATAAAGTATCCATATTTAGTTTTTAAAATGATGTTAACCTAACTATAAAATATAGTTTAAAATTAACTCAATTTTGTCAAACGTAAAATTGTAATTAACTTATATTTATATAAATCCCAATTTAATAAATGAAATACCTATAAACAGGTCGCTTAATGTCGCCAACAGGTTATCATCGGTGAAATATTGTGCCGACTGTTTGTCGTCGGCAATGGCCTCGTGTTTGGCGGCAATAAGTATATCACAAAAGTCACGCAAATTCTTGCTGTTATATGTTTTGCTGTGTTTTTGGTATATATTTCGCGTAAAATTCTTCATTTCGTTGAAGTATTGTTCATATTTAGCCAAAGGGTTTGCCATAAAATAACGGACAATCGGTATAAACTCGTAAACAAACATCGAGCTGCCCAGGTCAGTTTGAAAGTCGGTGGTGATATATTTAAACTTTTTTAACTCTGGTTGTTCGATGTCAAACCTAAATACAAATACAGTTTTACATCAAGCAATTAATTTTCATAAATAGTTTTATATTTACTTTTCGCTGAATACAACTGAGCCTAAGATATTGGCGAACAGATTGTATGCGTAGAGTTTGGCTGGAAATGGTTTACCGATGCCTTCAGTAGTGATAATGCTATCAACCATTTGGCGCACATTATTGGCCACCACTTCGGACAATGCCTGTGTTTTGGCGTAATTTCTTCCATGATTGTAATGTTATCGTGTTATTTTATATTTAAAAATACCATAAATAATAATGCAAAAATTAGAACATGCAATACGGAATTAATAATATCTTTAAGTTAATATTAGTAGCAATTGTAGTTTAACCGTTATAATGACAATATTGTAACTTTGCATATACGCAGATTCATCATGATATTATATGGATTTTAAATATAATCTATTTCATTTGCATTATAGTCACATGATTTTTAAATAACTTATTTAATATTACTTGTTATGAATCTAAGTGCATATGCGAAGTTACGTTATTATTACTTTAACGGTTACAGCAAAATTCCTACAACAACTTATACTTGGTCCTTATATTATAACCAAGTTTATTTAATTATATGTTAATGTACTACCGGATAGTTTTATGCGCCACGCGCCGTAGACTTTCCCAACTTTTACCATAATCGTTGAGTAAGACATCCTTATGCTTTTCATTGCAGAATATTTTAGCTACATTAAATTAATAAAGTTAAGTTAAATAACTGAAAAGGTTATACACAATACACTTGGTGTGTTAAATTAATTAATACAAATTATTACCCAGTGGCATTGCTGGACGTCCACAAAATTCAACTTTACTATATGATTCGCGGGCTATATCGAGGTCGCAGATGATTACAAATGGCAGGGGTCCGATCCATAGTGTAAACACTGGGCCATATTTGTCCTTAAAATGAACAATCTCCTCCGACCAATGGCGTTTGTATTTGCGAAATTCTGTAATGTGTTTTGTGCAAATTTAGTGCAATGATACAATCTATTTATACATGTCTATTTAATGACGTAAAATTAAGTTTATGCTCACCAAGCACATTTCCAATTAATGGTAACGGAAATGGTCCGGGTGGATAATTGTAGCGATTTGTGTAGAAACGTGCTATGTAGTAAACTACCAGAGCTATTATTATATCGGTTAGACCAATGCTTTTAATAAGTGCATCGATGCTATTTTATTAATTATAATTATTATTAAAGGTGGATTATTTAGAAAGAGAGAGAGAGGGAGGGAGAGAGAGA